AAGTACACGATAAAGGTGGATGAAACTCATGATAAGTGCAACCGTGAAAATCTGTGCTTATGTGTGAGGTACTTACAAGATGGAAATATTGTTGAACATCTACTTGCAGTTATTCAGGTTTCCAGTTTTGACGCACATTCCTTGACTGACTCCATCATAACAATACTTAAAGAGCATAGTTTCACTTTGGAAAACGTTTTTAGCCAATGCTATGATGGAGCTAGTGTGATGTCGGGACGATCTGGGGGTGTTCAAAACTTCTCAGGGAAAGACTGGGCCGATCTGTCCCCTATGTGCACTGCCTAAACCACCAGCTACACCTTCTGGTTGTGCATGCTATTTTGGCTGCAAATGTTGACGTGGACGCCTTTTTTGGCACTTGCAACATCCTATACAACTTCATTCATAAGCCAACTGTGTCTGTTCAATACACTGGGCAAACACTGAAACGACTGTTGGAACAGCGGTGGACTGGCTACCTAGCTACTGTGAAAGTCATCACTGGATCATATAAAGCTATCTTGATGATTCTTTCGGACATTGCCACAAATGAGAATAACACATTCTTACCTGAATTAGTGGATAAAGGCAATCGGATTGTTGAAGCTGATCAAAAAGAAACCCTTTCTGTTCCATGCTGTGGCTGTCCACAAAGCATTAAGTATACTAGCACCTGTCAACATTAATCTACAATCAGTCAGTATCAATCTGATGCAGACTTTGATGCTGATATCATCTTCGCAAGCATTCATTGCTTTTTTAAGAACCGATGAAACATTTACCACTTTGCTGGATGAAGTTAAATTGATTCTGCAAAATACTGCAGGTGATGATAACAGTAATAGACCATCAGCCTACAAAAAAGAGAAGACGTCGTGAAAACTCTAGTTTCAAAGACTACATTGTTGATCATCTGCACAGAGATAACGCCAATTTGTTAGAAAATTATAACCTCAAACGATCGTGATTCTGTCTAATTGACAGTATCCTGGCTGAGTTTGATGAACGTTTCTCGGAGAAAAACTCGCATCTTATTCTTGCCATGGAGTCACCAGATCCCAAATCAGAACATTTCTTTGTCAAAGACCGAATGGGATTTCTTGCAGACTTGATCGGCCTTGAAATGGACAGCTTTGTTGTGGCTCAAATTGATATTGCCAAACTAATACATCAGTGACCACTGGAGGAAAAACGACGAACATAACGTGGTGTCTGTTTTGCAACAGCTTTTCCA